CAGAGCATGCAGCAATTTTTGTAGCTATGTGGCATAACTATAGGATTACAAAGAACTAGAATCAGTAGTTTCACACAGCAAACAGCAGTATTCTTCAGAAAACAACACTGAAGGAACTGAGATTAGTGTAATAAGGCTGCTAAAAAATACTAGTTGCACTTACATAACTGCACATACTTGCGTGTGTAAAAGCACACACACATGTGTATATCATTTATATATAAACACATATACACATAAAATTTTAGCGAAAATAGCTTTTACAACCTCTGAGATACTGGGCATAAAACTGAAGGCATCGTCCATTCCATTATCACAACAACTTTCAGAGCTAACTTGCAAAAATTTCATGAAACTTGGTAGCAAGTTACTTCCCCTATTCATCTCAAAGACACAGATCAAAGTTATTTACTAAGACAACAGGAATCAAAACAATTCTTTGGCCAGAGCTAGGAGAATGCCTTCCCCTCTAAAACATGTCCTTCCTCTGACAGAGGAGAAAGACACAAAAATTGTAAGCCTTTTCACCTACTGAAAAAAAAGTGATGGGTTGATTTTCCTCGGGGTGTTTTTTTTTATCTGAAGCATTGGACAAGCTTAAGAGACGTGTGTTCAATTCCACATTCTGACACTTATATTTTGACCATTTTGGGGTTCAGTCACATACACCTCTGTTCCACTTCTATTTACGAAACAGCAGTAAATCTCCATTCTGACAACCGCCGTTTCCCTCATCTACTTTGAGGGTCATCTGTTTGAAGCAGTAACCATAAGTTGCTGTAACACCTAATCCTAAACCTGACATTATAATTCCATCTACAAATCTTGCTAGTAATATTGAACACCATGCAGAGCTACAGTCTTCCCACTAAATATCAGCACGCAAAATGAGCAGTTCTTACATCAAGTCTCCTTTGCTCCTTGACACACAACTTGCAGACACTTCTGTGGCTTGCTAGTCTGACATATTAAATTTACACATGAAAGATAGAGAACAACAGATTGCACCGTGAGAACAAAGCCTTCTCACCTCGGTACCTCTGTGATTCTTCCAAAGGAATTTCATAAGCTAACTGGAACAGATCTCTATCCTGGTCATTGGTTTTCAAGTTCACAAGGAATATCGTTGTCCCATAGCAGCCTATTCAATTCATTAGCTTTTATGAAAATATTTTAATAGATAATGATGCATAAAGAACATGCCTAGTTGCTCACCAGGTATTTAACTAGCACGGAAGCAAGAGAAGTCTACGCAAAATAGAAACAGCACCAAAGAGTTGTCTTCTGCCCATCCCATCTGTAAATGCAAGCTTCCTTCTCCACACTAGAGGAGGAGGTGGGGCTGGGAAACTCTTCTTTCTGAAGTCCCACCCTTCTTTACAGATGGACAGATTTCATTAATAGTTAACTGGTGACATACAGCATTAACTTACCTTGGCATTCATAGCCTTCCATCCGTGCTTGTCCAAGAGAGTGACAGGTCAGGGTAATTGTTTAGGGGTATTTTCTTTACCATGGCACATTACCCCAAAATCTCCTTTATTTTAATGTCTTGTTGCTTCACAGGTTGTTTTAAAACACTGAACACAGTTTTGTTCTTTTTTTCTTTTTTTTTCCCTCAAGTAGAGAAAAAACAGTGACTGACAGAGGCTGTTAACCAGCAATTTTTCTCAAATATCCAAAGCATGGCAGCCAGACCAAACCATATTATGTTCTTTGGTTTGACCAGTCCTTAGAGAAACCACATCCTGCTTAGCAGTATCATTGATGGAATAAAACTTCCAGCCTTTTCAGATGGGTAAATCGGAAATCTCTGCAAAAGAGAATCTTTTTTTCTCATATCCCATCAGATCTGTGGTTACTCTTGGGTCACAAGGGTGCTCTCCAACAGCCACTAGAAAGACTGCTCAGTCTCCCTGACTGCAAAGGCCTAGGACCAAGAGGGTGTCTATGTGAAACCAATCTTCTGGGCCATATTGTTACATATGGGAGCATATATTTGAAGACATTTAACAAATGGCAATATTCAGAGGCTCCAGTGATACAGAGCAGCTTTGTCCAAGTGACTGGCACTTCAACAATAAGTGTCATTTAAGAATTTGCCCAATGCTATTTTATCTATCCAATTACTTACCTCTCTTGCAGCAACAGAGCACTATTAGAGTTTGCTGATTAAGATTAGAAGGCACTTTGAAGGTTTATAGTGCTATACAACTGCTAATTATTATTGTTCATACCTGCATTTGGTTGAGAAAAAAATACTGGTGCCAGTTTATTTCAGAACAGTAGCCTGCTTCACATATGAAAGTAAAAACATTTGCTTTGTTGTGGTCTTTGAAAAGTGAAATAGATAAATACTATCAGCAAGATGCTTGCAATCCTTCACTGTAATATTTATTCCACTTTAAAAGAATATGGTGAGAACTGTCAAAGAAGCAAAAGGAAAATCATCAAAACAACAACGTCAAACATGACACCTTCCTTCTCATTGAAGCACGCAAATGCTTGTGCCTTGATGATTTCCCACCTTCAGGAACCAAATCTTTCTTTCCTAGGCTCCCTCGCTGGCTTCCTTCAGGGCATTCAGAATGACAATGCTGAACTTTGGCTCTGCACAAGTCATCATCATTGCAAGGTGACTGGTTTTGGTGGTTATTTACCACGCATCCCTGTTAAAGCATGTTTCAGCTGTCAAGGGCCTGCGAAGCTGCTAACAGACTACTAGATTCCACCACCTCCATTCACAGTTACCCCCTGAACAAGTGACACTCCGCGCTCCTTTCTGCCTGCTCCATACTGCTTCAGCCCGCTCCTCCTCTCCCACAGACACCTTGCTGCTTCCTGCACACTGTTCCACGTGCTCAAGTGTCCTTGATTCTGCTGTTCTCGTAGCCTCCAACTTCTCTCAACAATCACCACAGAGCTAACCTGCTTTAATGATACCCTGTGACACAGCCGGTTTCCTACATCTTTTCTATCTGTTGACTTTTTAACCCTAATCCTCCAAGTTAACTTGTATGGTCAAAAGTTAAGTAAACAGAAACCAAGCAAAATAAACAAACAAAATCATTTAAAAAATTTTGATCACTCTAATATTACAAAAGGGTAAACACAGACCCTTCAGGATCTTGTATGGCACCTTAGCTTGAGACAAGCAAAGGAATATTCCCCAACATTAAAAAAAATCCATCTTTGAAATCAGTGTAACTGATACTTTGCCCATGGAGCTTATAATTACAAAATGAACACACTATGAAGTATACAGTCAATATTAATACCCTTAAGCACACAAGGATTTTCCTTTTTTAAAGCCATAGAAGAGCAAAAAAGAAGTTCATTGGGGGAAACATATGCTTTTCCAGTCATCAACCAAAACAGTGTGTAAAAAAAGGAAGAGCAAAATCTACAGCTCAACTTTTTAAGATAATTTCTCTCGTGATTATGTTTTTCTTACCTTAAAACACTGCCCAAATGCAAGGACTGTTTACAATCGTGCCTGTTAACAGGAAAAAAGAAGGCACTCCATATAAAAAACAAATGCCTGACATTAAAGCTGAAAAGATAGTTACGTTTGATAGCAGTAGGAGTGGTAGCAAAATCTGTTGCAACTGCGCTACCAAACAAAAGATGGTAAAACCAGATTTACTCTTTCCTCATCACTATTTCTTGCACAAGAACCTAACTATTTAAATTGTACTCTTTGTTGTATCTTTGCTCGTGTGTTATTCAAAGCAAGTCTTGCACTGTCAACTGAATGAGACAGTGGATACACAGTTTTAACGTGGAATGTGGGGTCATTATTTTCAGTATTAACCACGTCCCCGTGAGCAACTTGCACACAAATGGTGATGTGGGACTGAAACGCCCAGGAACGCATGCGGTCGGTGCCTGCTTTCTCACATGATGTTGAGCCCTCGGGTCAAAATCTGACCCAGTTCTGACCCAGATGCACCGTGCAGTATCACAGAACGCGTTCCCTTCCCATTGGCGCTTCACAAACAGACCGATCCCCACAAATGCCCCAGCTTGGGCCACTCCAACACTCCCTCCTCCAAACCTAACGCCTCGGGAAGGTGCCCTGACACAAATTACCTGCGACGACCAACTTGGGAGTTCACATGTCCCACGTTTGCTCCAGATCCCACCTACAAAACCAATCTGGTTCCCAACAGTTTCCCGGGTAAACAGGAGGGGGTACAGAGCAGCCCTTGGCGGTTCCCTATGAAGTCACCCTCTTTGTTGTTCTCAACACGCAATTTAAAGGGAATGACACAATCTAGAGTAGGAGCGAGATTATCCTGCGGTTTGCGGAGGTGTCGATTGCTACGAGATAAAAAAGCCAGCGAAACCTATGCTATTTCTCATCGCCAGCCAATACGTTTCTACTTCGTTTCTGTTCCTCCAAAAGAAAGTTACTGCAGCAAAAAAACTTGTCTGGGGATTAAGCAGGAGGGAGCGGAGGGGGGAGAAGAGGGCGCTCCGCTGGCACAAGCCGACACCCGCCCTCCCCTCACGGCAGGGCCAGGGCCCCACGCGTGTCCCGCTGTGACCCGCGCTCCGCGCCGGGCAGGGAGCCCACGGGGAGAAGCCAACAGCGCCCGCGGGGCTTTGTGCGGCCTCGCCCCGCTCCGCCCGCCCCTCACGGCCGCCCCCTCCCCCCGCGCCGCCGAGGGGCTGCGCGGCCAACGGCCGCTAACGGCGCTAACGGCCGCTAACGGCGCTAACGGCGCTAACGGCCGCCCGCGCCGCCGACGGGCCGCGCGGCCAACGGCCGCTAACGGCCGCCCGCGCCGCCGAGGGGCCGCGCGGCCAACCGCCGCTAACGGCCGCTCGCGCCGCTGAGGGGCTGCGCGGCCAACGGCCGCTAACGGCCGCCCGCGCGCGGGACCCCCCTGAGGGGCGGCTGCCGCCAGCGCCTTCCCCTTCCCTCCCGGCCGCCTCCCCGGCGCGAGGAGCGAAGCGCCGAGCGGGGCGGCTGCGGCGGCGCCGGGCGCACTTACCGGCCGCTCTAGAGGCGCCGCGGGCGCTCGCAGGGCGGCGATGGAGCCGAGGAGCCCGAGGGTTCGCCCTCCCCCGCGCGAGGCTGCGGCCGCCGCCTGTAAGAGAGCCCGGGCCGGCAGTGTAAGGGGAGCAGCAGCATCTCCTCCTCCTCCTGCCGCCGCTCCAGCCCCGGCGCCCCTCGCCCCGCACGGCGTGAGGAGGGCGGGCACGGCAGCCTTGCCCGCCCCGCGCCCGCCCCTCGGGCCTCCCGGGCAGCGCGCGGAGGCGGCCGCGCTGCCGCCCTCCGCCCCCGGCGGCCGCTCCCTCCCTGGCTGCTGCCCTCGCGCCGCGAAGAAGCTGCTGCCACAGGCCCGGCCCGGCCCCTGCCCGCCCGGCCGCCACCTCCGTGGGCGCCCCCGGTGGCACCCAGGCGGGCCCTGGCCCCGCGTCCCGAGGCGCTGCCCTGAGGCACCGTGTGGGGCAGGGGAACCCCCTCGGACGCCAGGGCCGCCTGCTTGGAGCGCGGCAGGCCAAGGGCGGCGAGGAAGGGGGAGGCTCCGCACAGACTTAGTGCTCGTGCCGAGAGCGCCGCGCGGCCTCCGGGGCGGCTGCGGCTCCGGGAGCTCCCGCCTCGTGGCGGGAGGCTGCGAGAGGGAAGAGTCACTGCGGGGAAGAGGCACCCGCCATTTCTGTTACCTGCATCAGGCGTTACAGACGGGGGGCCTTCATTCAGACATGCTGAAAAATATCCACTTTAGGGAATTTGATAGCCTGAAAACATGTTTCTGATTTTCAAAAAAACTTTTTTTTTTTTTTGAGAGGTGCAGTTGCTTTAGGAAAAAAAAATACGCAACTCTATCTGTTCCCAAACTATCCGTTCCCAAACTACAGAAGCCCCACCTCGTACCCAGTGCAGTCGTAAGAGCCCAGTGCCACAGTGAGTTGCCGAAGTGTCACTGACTTTGGCCAAGTCATAATGAAAATAAAGATGAGTAGTAGAACTAATTAACGTTTCAAGAGGCTTCAGTAATCTGAGATGCTGTTAGTTACGTAATTTAAATATTGTTTTCTTGTAATACTAGTTCCTTGACTTGATAAGTATCTACTTACATTTTCAGGTGAATTTAGTATGTTGGAATCCACACTGGCAACAAGACAAGAGCTCTTCTTGGTCCCTGTATACTTATTTATACGTTCTTTGGCAGCAGCCCACCTCTTGTTTCTATGGGTTTAGCGTCTTTCTGGAAGAAGAATTTAAAGGATGCTGAATGAATGTTGAGGAACCACGGTACGTTTTACCTTCAAACTCTGTTTTCATGCTTTATGTGGTTGATATCACCAGTTACGATCCACTTGGCCTTTTTCTTACCTGTATTTGGAGAAAGGAAGAGAAGGAGCTTTCTGTAAGGGTATGCTTTTTGCAGAGTATTACATTAAATACATCAAATGACTAAAACAGCACTTACAGATGCATCAAAAGGCCGAGCTACACACTAAGGAAATACTATCTTCTTGTACCAGAGGATGTCTTTAAAAATAGACACCTCCTCTGAAAAATGGCACCTCTCTTAGAAGATTGCAAATCTGATCGTAATTTACTTTCCAGTAAATAAGATTTAGTTCTTTGTGCTTCATCCTACTAATGAACATGTGTTTTGAACGCTATTTTCTTTAGCCTTGTAGAAGTATGTGAATACCTTAAAAGAGATCTCATTAGACTATTTTTTTTAATTAAACATCTTAAGGAAACTGGGAGCTTAGGACCAATGAAACAAGTTATTTCCCTCTCCCCCTATTGCGCATTTTAGAGCAATGCAAATACATGGAAAACATGGCCCTAACTTTAAAAACTTCTTATGTCACTGAAAGACCTAAGACATTCCTAAGACTGACACCTTGGATTATCTCCACTGTGGAAAAACTAAGTGGCTTGTGTCAGCGTGGTACTTCTGCCCTGAATCGTGAACACTGTGTCCATTAGCTGCAAGGAATAACACAGCAGTGCTGTAACTTAATAGATTGCCGAGTGAGACTTTCTCCTTAGCTGTTCAGAGGAAGTTTCCATGCTAACCAGACTTACAAAACCTTAATTTTTCCTCTGCAGAGAATGCCTGGCAACCAAAAAGACTATACTCACTCCACCATACAAATCTTGAATCACTGACTCACAACTTTTACTCTGTATGGTTCAGCTTTGCTTTACAAACATGCCAAATCATGCTATTTTTTTCTTTTTTTTTCTTCCCTTTTTTTTTTTTCTTTTTTTTTAAACTTCCTTAATTAATAGGTGTCACTGTGTCTAAACTGGGGGACTCAGGAACACCTCCAAGTTCCTGGTTTGGGATGTGTGCCTGGCCACACCCTGACAACGTATTAGGACAAGACCTGTACATAAACTGGCACCCTCCCTTAATCTCATACTTGTGGGTAACTTAAAACCTGTGTGCCACACTCCTGTGTATGTTTAAATGCCAGTTTAGAGGAAGACTGCAAGTCCAAATCTTCATTCTATTAAAAAAACTTTAAAAAGGCAACTCAAGAGCGTCTTTGAGCAGCTAACATGCAACACCTTGGCCCATAAAAGGCTTAGTTTCTGTGTGAGACTACATGACATGTCCTTATATTACCAGAAAAGCACTAAGGAGCTGAAGTGAAGGAACTGGTTCAGAAAGAAGCAGCAAAGAGAAATAGGTTCCTGGAAAGATTTAATCTCTGAGAAAGATCACGACTTGAGAGTACAGTGACTGTCTGGGATTTTCAAAAGCGACAATTAATTTTGGGTGTCTCCTGGTTTTGGTGCCCAAACAGGACGCACTAAGTGGTGTCTGAAGTTCTGCAGCTGGATTCACAAATCTCCTTTGAAATGTTAGCCGTTTTTGTATTCTTTGGCTAAATGACAGTCAAGGAACAGGGAGAAAACTGCCTATAAACATTTGATGAGGCTGAATGCCAGCAAGAGAAAGAAAGTATTTTTGGTCCCTGTCTGCGATGCAATCCTTTTGGCAGACTGATAACAGTGAGGCTTTGAGTTCACTCAATAGCCTATACAGGTTACAATTGTAGTAATGAGGCCTGAAACATATATGAGACTGTAATTACACTTGAAGCGTGTAAGCAAGAGAAAAAAAAATAGAGATTTTACTAGAAAGTTTTTTTTTTCCAACCTTAAGACTTATGGCTCTCCAGGATAATCTTCAAGAAAATCTAATTTACAGGAGCTAATTAGCTGTAGGTACTTAAAAAGACAGACTAGTCAAAATAGTAGTAAATATACAGTAGAGAACCATCTTGCCCAGACAGAAACTGCTTGTTGGAGCAAGTCTTTTCTGCCTTCAGCTTTGGAGTCTCTCTTAATGAAGGTTTTGTTAGGGACTATTACAGTCAAGAGTTAAATCAGAGAAGCGGAAGAGAGACATTAAAATGTATGATGAGCGTAAGAGAAAAGAAGTTGTTTTTATTTGAGATTTGAAATGAGATGAAGGGTCACTGAGGCTGGGCAACACACAAAGGCTGTCCCAGACGACAGCCTGTTTTGCAGAAAGGGCTCTCACATCAACAGTAGCTAGATTGTGTGCAGGGACAGAGCAAAGTGGAGATGGGGAGGGGTGGGGGTACGGGGAGAAGAGATGGACTGTTTTCCAGAATTGGAGAGTTGCTGTAATTCCATAAGGGATAACTCTCAACTGACCAGATATGAAAGGCCAGACAAGACAATTGGGATTTTGAATATTCCTTTGTTGTAGAACTCTCTCAAATCTAAAGGCATTCTATTTATCCTCAGCAGATCTGCTGTTCTGTTCTCAAATCTAAAGGCATTCTATTTATCCTCTGCAGATCTGCTGTTCTGCTGCTGCAGTGCAACTCAGCATCAACCCATGTGCAAGCGTGAGTATGACTTTTGTTGAACACAGTAACAGCTTCCTCCTTCACGTCAAGGGGAGCAGGATCTCACTTGTACGAATGACAGCTTTATATTTTCTAATGATCTTCAGGATCTGAAACCCACATGCTTATCCACTGGTAAATTACACATTGTTTGGGGGATCTTTCCTTGCTTATGTCTTAATGTCATATATAGTAAAGGTTGCACACTGGTTATTTCAGTAAATTGATGTCTGCAGTTTAAAAAAACAAACAAACAAAAAAAAAAAAAAAACCCTAACATAGCTCCAGGAGAGCACTTAAAATTCAAAATGTTCAAGCTTCATTTTAGGAAGCCTGTAAGCAAAGCTGTTGAAAATGGACCAGGCAGCAGCCACTTGGACTTCCACGCTAAATCACTTATCATATTTCTAAGGAATCATGGAAATGACTGAAAACCATTTCTTTTTATAGTAATGAGTGCATGATCTTAAAAACAATTGGAAGCATAGCATTCACTCGGTGACTCCGATGGTAGCAATAGCATAGCAAAATTTTCCCAGTTAGGAGATTGTTTTTAGCATTTTCTTTTTACGTTCACAGAGCCATATTGTCAGGGATAGATCTAGGCCATGAAATTTTTTGGCAGCAGCAAGACATACATAAAGAGATGGCTCAGAAACAGGTGGTACGATGAGACCTTAATAAAAATGAAAATGTCCGTGGGTGAAGAGATAACGATAGAAGACAAGGATGCAAAAGTTTCTGTGAAATCATTAGATGTTCTGAAACAGCCATCAGAGAAAGGTTAAAGATATGCTTGAGGGAAACACAGTGAGGGAGTCACAGAATTAAACAGGCGGAATTCCTGTAAAAATCTACTGCAAGAGCTATCAGGGAGACAGAAGGGGGAAACAAATCCCTATTGCTGTGTAAGTACTTTACACCTTCTGGTGGCACCAGAATTGATTTCTCTGCACAGCAAAATCTCTTCCATCTGACTGCAAATCTCTTAAGGGTGTTATTCCAATCACCCCACCTAGTTCACTGGAGTAAATCCAGAGTGACTACATGGAAATCTGTGGAATAACTCCAGATTTACACTGACATTATATTGACAAGAATCTGATTCTCTACAAAACAGTGCCTCGTATTTATACTGCACGCTACATTTCTCACTTGCATTTCTATTCACATTTGTTGTGAACAAGATACGAATTCATTTGGCCAAGAAACTGCTTTGCCCCTAAGAAATGTCTCTATGTTCTTAGACAGGAGTTATTTAAGGATATTTCTTCGCAGTTTTTGTACAAAGATGGTCTTGTGAAAAAACAGCTGCATGCTGGGCTATCAGATATTTTTGTCTAACCAGGCAAAACTGAAGCTGTCAAACTAAAGGGATTCAAGTTGCACCTCAGAAGCTACAACTCTTCCAAAAAGGGTTGCCCACTGAAGTGAGTTACTTTTCATGTTGTTGGAGTAGCAGTATGTGCCTGTGCCTTCAACTGCATTTTCAATTGCTTGCTATCAGCAACTTTTCATGGTAATATTACTTTTTTTGTGTGATCCATTTACTGGTCAGTTTTGCTCTCATGACTTTTAAATTAAGTGTCTTTAAAGAAAAGAACCCCTCACATAGAGAGAGTGGCAACCCTTCATTCTGGTAAGTTTGTCTTCAGTAATATACGTGCCACTGCAGCTCACTTGTGTGAATTGCATGCAAACATCTGTAGACAAGTTTCACAATATTATTTTAATCACCAGAATATATAAGTAATTTAAAATTAGAATATAAGTGTATTTCTAACTTTGATCGGGGTTAGAAATTTCTTTCCTAGTTCTATTTTGCTTTGTTACAGTGCTTCCCTTAATAACACGCCGCTGCTTTGTTAACTGGAAATTGCATTTGAGGCAGCATGCTGGGCAGTTTGTGCTGTTCCTATTGCTGTTGTACTACATATTTCCACAACTGGAAATCTTAACTGAATATATAACAATCATTAGGCCTAAAAAGAAATTTCGTTAGTATCGCCTGATCAGAAACTACTTTTAGAATAAGTGAAGACAGAAAACAGCTTGCAGGAGAAACACCCTCTTGGCAAGTCTCTGGCTTGCAAAAGAAACCTTATTGCTCGATACCCTACAAAGGGAGGACGTTGCAATTTGGTCAGGTATTATAAAACACTTCATTTTCTATTCTGGCTTTAAATGCTTGATTGTATGTGTTCATGTGTCATTGTATCCATGATAATATTTTGACATCTGTAGCTTTTGCCTCTTGAAGCTTTCCAAGCATGTCTCTATGTGAGGGCGCGAAACCTCACCATTGGCGGGGAACAGTCATATTGGTTCTTCGTGACAATAAACAGAAGACTGAGGCACGACGTGACATATTCAGGGTTACACGGGAACCTTGCTGCAAATTTCTGGAAGCGGAGAGCAGAGGTTTTGACTCCCAATCCCACACACTTCCTACAGAGGAGCCAAGAGACCAGTGGGAATCAGAAACTCGCTTTGTCTCTGAAAGGTTTTCTGCTGACTACGCATAGTAACAGTCATTCATCTGTTTTCATTTCACTACCATTCATAAAACATCCTGTACTATACTGAATTTAAATCATGCTCTTTTCTTCCTGCAATTTTGGAGATTATTACGTAGAAGACTATTATTTAAATTTCAAAGGGCTTCTTTGTAAACTACTTCCCTATGGTGGAACCACTAGTTTATGCTTTTAAATAAAATATTTACTCAGCACATTTAGAAATTACAGGGCATCGCATGCAAGGAGAAGTTCAGGCTAACTTTGCAATGGAATTTAATGCCTACGAGTGGAGTTGGAGCATGAAAATATTCCGGTCTTTTGTGTAACTTTTGTCCTGAACTTGAAATTCTTCATCCTGATACCTCTGTAACTAAGTTTACTGGTGATACCCAATTATTGCAGGAAGCTCATTGAGATGAGCTTTTCTCTTTGTTTGGCAGCTTGTATTTTAATGATTACCTGCACAAAATATCCCATATACTTATCACATACCTAATTACCGCCCTATACTCACAGGCTGCACGTTATGCAGTCGGTTACAGTCACTCCTCATCACTCGTTAGTGTTGGCTGAATCCCTTACTGGGAGCAAGGACAAGGATGTGCTGGTCCCTTCCTTGTCACAGCACCATTAATTCCCACAGTCCTCAGCTCAAGAGAGCTGTTTCAAGTGTTTTAAGTCATACTTAAATGGAAAACTATCTATTTTTTACCTCGTTGTAGGATTTGACTGTCCTGTGCTCATCTCTGTGGAATTTATCACACTGCAGAAAATAATACTGCCCCCGGGAAGGCTCACTCACCAAATGCTTCGGAGGGGTATGTTCAAATCACACAGCATCCTAGTAAGTCATAATCATGTCACCAAAGCTGGAGGAGGAAAAAAAAAAAAGAGGTTTTCATTAATAGCTTTCTTATTACTTGGACTACACTATTGCATGACTACTACATATAACATGGTTAGTTCCCTGTGATAAACATACGTGTAGATCCAGTTGGGGTCAGACTTGGAAACTGTCAGTATTTGAAGAGCCAAACAGCAGCGTATGTTTCCCCACAAGATTTTCTGATCCTCTTGTACCAAAGCATGGAGAAATAGCTTGACAACATAAAGAACATCAGACTTTTGCTGGGCTTGGAAACAGTGTGATAGTGTATTTTCCCATTACTGGAATTCCCTATCTTGTTAAAAAAAAAAAAAAAAAAAAAAAAAAAAAGCCGTCACTTTTTCACCTACAGTCCTTGCGCAGAGTAGGACCCTTTCCACAATCACTCTATTTTTCCTGAGGAAGGTGTTGGCCACACCTCTGGGATGCTCTTCTTTTTCCCCCATCTCTCCCCAGCCATAAACTTCACATTTAGGTGGAGATGGGCACTCTTTCTTGAGCAGAGACACCCAGACTACTGACAGGCCACACCACAGATGGTGGAGACCCTGAGCTCCCAACCCACGCTGTAGACAGCAGCATCTTGCTGTGACTGTGCTTAGCCTGTGAGGAACTGGGAAAATGCAAGCAGACTAAGCTAGGCATCTCTGCTGTGCTCTGGGGCTTCCCAAATAAACTGTATTGGCTTGGCAATCTGGGAAACACTAGTACTGTAGGAGTTTCAGTGAATCGTTAGAATTTGAAAACCATGGGGAGAGAGATCCTTGACCTGCAACTCGCACAGATAGAGAGAGAGAGGGTGGCCAGTTTGCATTCAACCACGAGGAAGGAAAAGATAGAAACATTAGGAAAAACAAGCAAACAAATAAACAAACAAAAACAACCCACCCCCCAAAAGAACAACTGTCTAGTACCTTTGATTCATCTCCTGTTCCGGAGATATTTTCAAGACAGTGCACTTTAAGTGCACTGCGACCCCATCTATCACTCATTTATCTGGTTTGGATGACACTTAAAATGAAGCTTATGATAAGGGGGTTTGGCATGGACCATTTAGTGAGATTCTGGCCAAAGCCCTTAGCTAGTTATGTTCAGGAAAAGGTCTATTTTCTATTACAGGAAACAATTTGTTGATGACTATTTCCTTTAAAACTTCGAAGTGCAGCCATGGTCTCAAAGGCTTATCAGGCAGAGCCTTGAGAAAGCGAGCATACATTACGTACATGCAGGCAACAACATATGAAGGAAGATAACTGACATATTTTAATCCAAATGAACTTATCCTCAATAGATAACAGTAGGAATAACATTAGATAGGAGTAACATTAGATAGGAAACTAGCAGAGAAAATATGAGCTCTAAGAGTGTGAGTAAAACCTGAATTATGGAAAAAGTGTTTATTTGTAGAATACTGAATTTGAAAAAACGTATCCTTTCACAATTCCTAGGAATAAATTAGTATTTTTTTTTCCAAGTAGCCTTAAGATCTCTACTTGCTGCTGGCAGGTTTGCCTTATACCAACAAGAGCAGCGTGTTTATGTAAGTAAGCCTGACAAGTTCTTTTGTTTGAGACACCTACCTTTTTTTCCAGAGTCAGTGGTGCAACTATCACGTTGTCTTTTTAGTTTTTCCTAAAGAGAAGAAGACATGCTATTACTCAATTTCCATATGAATCGACTCCCTGCTTTTCGGCAGTAGACCAACCTGTGTCAGGAAACGCTCACCTGTGTCCTGGTGAGTGCAACCAGGCTGAGAGCTGAAGTTATTTTCATTCAAACTCCTTGAAGTGTTTACCTGCAGAAATCAGCCCTCTCTCATTTGTGACTTGTCTGCATGTAGATTGTGAGCTCAGTTTATAAACAGTCTGATTAGTAGCTATGGGTATAAACACAAGCTGCAGGATGTATTTGTTGTATTTGTTCAGAGCAAGCATAGTATGGACTGTGGGACTGTAGAGCCCAACCAGATGCTATAGCTGCTCTACCATAATTGCGTAGCCCACATTTTGGAGCTAAAAGCAGGTGCACCTTGCAATTAAGAAAAACCAAACTTTGCTTGTTGGGCCCTAAATCTTAATACCTTTACACTGAATATCTTTATCCTTCACATAAAATTGTATTCACAAACAAAACAAACAAAAAAAGGAGGACCACAGCAGTCTTAAAATGTAATTGGGAAAGCGCAATTAAAAACTGAACTCCATCCACAGGTAAAGTGTGTGGGAAGGCGTTTTTTCTTCTCAGAATCTTTTGTAGTTGCAGTTGCCCTCGTGCTTCACAGGAATAAACGACGACAACATTGCAGGAAGGAGATCATAATTTAAAAACGAAACAGCCATGAACCAACAGCAATAAGCCACTGCTCACTTGGGTTGAATGAATGTACTTCCTCTGGACTCAATCAAACCCAGAGGAGGGCTTTACTGTTCTCACGGTGCACATGCAGTTTTCTTGGCTGGTGTAAAACAGCACAGCCCAGGAGACTTCTCTGGAGGCAACTGCCTCGCAGCAGGTGTCCCATGTCCATGGGCAATGTGAGCTGCTTTTGTGACTTGTGCTCTCCAGAAGATACGTTTGTGCTGTGCAGTCCACGTTGCAATTTCCTGCCTTGTCAGCTGGGTGCTGTCCTGCAGTTACTGTCTATCCTGACAGCCCTTTACAGCTCCCTCTCATGCGGCTTTTCTAAAACATTCCAGTTGCAGGAAGGTGACAGCGCTGTGGCAGAAGTACCTTCTTGCTCCAGAAAGCAGGATGAGATCACCTTGCTCACAGTCCTTCTTGACATTTTTAAACCTTCTAAAACTTGCTCTCCAAGTACTCCTAACTCCCTGTAGACATGTATAAACTCCCTCTATAGACTTTGAGCATCCTGTACATTTCTACCCACCTGCTTATCTCTCTCCATCTTTTTTTCCATCCTGGTCTAACTGGGAGTTGCTTTCACAAATAAAGCACCAACCATTTGATTTTTTTATCCATAAAATCTAATTTTAAAACACTTATTCTAAGTGCGTTAGGCTAGTCCAATGTCAATGTAATTCTTCTCTCTTCCTAGTTTCCAACCTTCAGATACAGAGAGAGT